GCCACAGTGCAATTCTAAGGGTTCTTTTGCTTTTTGAAGCACTGAAATTAGATAAAAGCTACAATTAAGAGTGGTATTCTGTAGTTTAATTGTGAATGCAAGGCTAGACTGGCACTGGAAATTGCTCAGGTACATCTACTCAAATGCTAGAAGAAGCAGCACTGCAGGTATTCAGTGCTTTATCTGATTAGAAAACAGCCTGGCACAGATGTGATTTCTGCTCCATATATCAAGCTATGGCAGGCTTTTGCTGCTTCATTATGAAAGCATCTGAAGTAAAATAGGTTTTGGAACATAAAAAATGACAAATTTGGAAAAATATCTATATGCCAGATGGGTGTAGGAAGAATCCTTGTGACAAATATATTATTAAGGGAATATGCATAAGGAAAGAAACTGTGCCCAACTCTTCCAAGGATGGACAGGCAGGAAGGTAGCGTCTCACTGTGTCTAATGTATTCTCATCTAGCCTAAATCTAATTAATTATGTTGCACTGCTGACATCAGATCCAGGCACCGCACACAATAAGCTGCATCGGGGCTTCAGCAGGACCTGATGGTTGCTCTGCCCTCCCTGCTTTTGTTTGCTTTCCTCGGGGGCTGCGGGTCAGGGTGACGACATCTCTGCTGAGGAAAGGCTAATACAAACAGATGAGGCTTCTGCTGCACACCAGCATGAGCTCATCCTGGTCTCCAGAGTTACCACACTGTGTCAGTCTCCTCCAAGGATGCTGCTTGGAGGGGTTTTATTGCAGGTCGTGTGTGCTCCAGTTCAGCTTCTCCTTGTGTATCACAGAGAAATGGGAGCACTTCAGTTGCTGCTGATTTACTCCACTGATGCTTTTGGAGCTGAGTTCAGTGTCTCAGAGATGAGGCCTGGACTGAGTGAGAAGTCATCTCCTGGCTTTCCCATATAGGAAGGGGTGGTGCCTGCAGCTCTCAGGCTCAGGGCACAAGGGGCTGTGAAAGCAGGAAAGTCAGTATTTCAGACTAAAAACCCCCAAAGGACGGGCAGTCCTGCATCTTTGTGGTACACCAGATCTGAGACGACATGAATGGCATCAGGAGGTGCTGCCTGCAGGTACAAATCACAGCTGAAAGAGGTCTCAGTCTTTGGTTCTTCCCAAAGATGGGATACAAACCTGGCTTGGATTCAAGGTGTGAATGATCTAGCCATGAGGAATGTGTTCAGAACTGAAAGAGAAATGGAGGCAGGGAGGACGGGATGGCAACCTTATCATTTGCCTTCACATAATTTGATTTCACTGATGCCCCCATCCACTATCTGATTGCTCTTTTCCTATTTAAACCCAGACAAACCAGGAGGCTTTTGCTCATGGGCTTTTACTACTATTTTATTTGGCTGTTATGGAATAAAAGAATTTTAGTATTGCCTTAGAGTTTCTCCTGGCATCTATCACAACCAATCCAGCTCATATGTGGGTGAACTGTGCTTTGATCCAATTATACAGTTCTATTGGAGCCTCGTTACATTCTTATCCCGGGTGCATGTTGAAAAACTCAAGAGCAAAAGAAAATTCCACAAAACGTTTCTCATCTACTGCAGGTTTGGAGATCCAGGAATGCATCATACCGGCACTTGTGGAGGCCAACAGCGAACAAGGAAAACAACATGTTCTGCAGGGAAAAATAACCACCCTGTTAAGCATCGGCAAGATTTAGAGGGAGAGTAGCACAATCTGCATGTAGGTATTATTGTCCTTGGGGAGACAGCCTTACTTCTGCTAATTGTATCAGCAAGAACTTTGTTGGTGTCTATCATTGCAGTGACAATGACAAAGGAGCTGCCAATCTGAAGACATTTCTGAGGATGAATAAAAATGACAAATCTGAAGAGAACACAGACACAAATGGACCAAGGCAACATCCCCATGGATTGTGACTGTAATACTTAACAACGCAGATTCTTTACACACTTAGTACCTCTACGGCAAAAATGCATTACTAAATCAACAACCCATGCACCATTTGATTACCATGATGCAGTAGTTGATCTACGATATTTCTGGCTTCCACTGTCTTTGGACTGTGAAACATAATAAAGGGAATTAGGTGTCTCCCTTGCTCATCTGCTATAGAAAGCCATGCAGAGGCGTAGCTTCACAGTGTTGCTCCCAGGAGAGGAAATACACTTGCTCCAAAGCTTTGTGGCTCCATCACGGTGTTCTCCCACACACCTACAATCCGAATCCCCATCCTAAAGCTGTGTGACGAGGGAGATGCCAGGACCAAACTTACGCAAATGCAGATGTGCTTGTGCGCTTGCAGAAGATGTGAGGTGCAGCAGGAGGTAATGGGAAATCAATTCCATTGTTTCCCTTTCCTGTGCATTTTGGGTCAAATTCTCCTTCATTTTGCCATAGCACAGTTGAAAAGCAGCTCAACTGAATCATGAGAACTGGGCCCAAACTGATATAAACAATGGGCATGTTAAGCTATTGCAGACTCTGTTGTTTGCAGTGTTCCAGAGGGCTGTAGCTTAGTTGATGGACCATCCCTTTTTGTGTATTCATTCTTTATTATGGTTATTAAAAAAGCAACATTAACAAAACAGGGCATAGACGACATTCAGAAGTCTCTTTTCTGTCCTTTGCTCACTTGAACAACAAAAATTAGAGATATTTGGAATGAGGATGACTTTGCAAAGCAGCAAAAAGGTCAGAGAAAGCCTTACTGAGAAGAAAGACAGAAGGAAGGCTAATGGCACTTATGGAACAGTGCAGAGTTCCTGGTAGAATAAAAGACTTTGAAGCTTATGTTCAGAGGCTTGAAAGGGATAGGACAAGGGGGAATGGCTCTAACCTGCCAGAGGGGAGATTGAGATGAGATCTAAGGCAGAAGGTGTTCCCTGTGAGGGTGCTGAGGCGCTGGCACAGGGTGCCCAGAGAAGCTGTGGCTGCCCCATCCCTGGCAGTGTTCAAGGCCAGGTTGGACACAGGGGCTTGGAGCAACCTGCTCTAGTGTGAGGTGGGGTTGGAATTGGATGGGCTTTAAGGTCCCTTTAACCCTAACCAGTCTGGGATTCTATGACCATTCCCAAGGCTGCCTGCTCTTGGTGACATCAGTTTTGCCTGCCTGTGATTTCAGCAGCTTAACAGTCCCTTTTTCCCTTATTCCCGAGGGTACAGACAGGTTGTTGGTCTCCAGCTCTGGAACGCCATCTGTGTTTCTGCTCCCTGTGGGAGGCTGACAAACGTGGCACCTCTCCCCGTGCCTTCCCCCGGTCACTCTGAGCCCCGTCATTAAGCTCTGCCACAGAAATCTGTTTAGTCACAGAAGCAGATTGCTTCCACGAAGCACAGAGATGTAATTTGCCAGCACTTACACTACAATATTAAATACTCGCGCGAAGCTCCTTCACCTTTTCAGTTCTTTATAGCAGAAAATACTTGGTGTGAAATCCTGCCTAGACAAGGGTCAATGATAAAATCTGCCTCAGCGACGGAGCAGCTTCTGCCCTTCCTATGGTTAGTGGTTTTATTGGGTTTGCATTTAAAGCTGTTCCAATACATCAGTGCTTTCACTGCCGGTCTAGAGCACTTGGACACACGCAAAGCTGCTGCGGAGGGACAGCTAGGATTTAAGGACAGCCCTTGCTGGGATTTGCTTTCCCTTGGAAATGGATGGCTCCGAGGCAGAACACACCCCGAGTGCAGCCGTAAGCCACCACACCTCACCCCAGGCTCCAGCCCGCTGTAGTTAATGATTAAATAATTCCCCTGGTGATGTTATCCGGTGCTGATAAATGACAGATTTCATTGTTTTGCCTGGAGCAGCTTTAAATTGTGTTAATTTCATCAAAGATTGACACTGGCTTTTATTTCCTTTTGCTCCCGTTGTGTCCTGTAAAGGCGCCGCGCGCCGCAGACTGCAGATTGCTCATAGAATTGGTACAATAGATTTTTCCTTTTTCCTCATATTTAGAGAAAAATTGTAATCAGAGCCTTGGAAATACCAAGGACTTTTCGATCAATAAACTACTAATGAGTGTATTCAAAGAGGAATATGACCACAGATCCAATGGCTTTTAAAACAACCTGAGTGTTGACTGTGTTTGTTTTACATGTGATCTCAGAATGATTTCTAATTTTATACAGCAGTGAATTTATTCCACCTCCAACACACGTTTCTGACACAGGGTTTTCTCCAAAACTGAAGATAAAATACATTACCCATCTTCCTGATGAGCCAAGCTATCATTGGGCTGATTCTTTCTTTTGGCAATGGAAAAAAAAAATAGCCCAAGGTAGCCCTATTCTGTTGATGCCAAAGAAAAAGGCAGTTTTACATCAGTGGGATCTTGATCTTGATTTATGGCGAATTCCACCTATTTTGGAACAATGAATGTAACAGTTCGATGTGTATTGGATAAAGCACATGGAAAAAAATAGAGCTGTAATTTGGAACTACAAAACTGATATTAAGTATTTTCTGTACCAGCAACAATGTGATGGAGCACAATAGTCTGTTGTAGTAAACAAGGGGAGGTTTTGATCGTGCACTGTTGTAGCTCCCTGTGCAGAATGCTGGGTTTGACTAGGAAACAGTGAATAAAACTTCATATCCCAACCAAGGCTCCATATCACAGCTGGTATTTTTAATAGGGGCCTCTCTCAATAATTTCACTGGGGTACCTGGGGTTTGTTTTGGCGGCTTTTCATTATTGTGTTGGTTTATTCTCTTTTTAGGCACATGGTATAATGCAGTTGAAACACTCACTTAAATGTGGATAGAAATGAAACGTGTGAAAACACACTGTGAATGTGGATGGAAATGAAATGAAACCATAAGTCAGGTGTCCTGAGGCTCTGATTGTTGTTAATGGCCCTGACAAGCCTCATCTGGAGCCTCCCAGCCCACCCGTGGGCCAGGAGCACTATTTAAGCTCAGGCATGGCCCAATTTCATTGTTTTGAGTAATGCTGTAGAGAGATTGGTCTTTTACTCCTTGTTCCTCACTCCGCTCATTTGCCCTCTGGTCTGTGCATGGACCTCCTGGCTTGGTGACAGCCTCTGGAATGTGTCTGATCCTGACCTATGGGTTCACCACCACGCTGGCCTTGGAGTTGTGTCAGCCCCTTGAGCTTGTCTAATGGGAGCCTGTGGTTGAAGGTGCTCTGCTGTCCTCATCAGCCATTGTGGGACTGGCTCTGTCCTCAGCTCCTGCTTCCCTGCCCTGCTGGAAGAAGACATGGATTAATCAAGGTAAATAAATCTGTTAATGAAGTTTACTTAACCTGGAGGAGCCTGCCCTGGACCATGTCTGTACCCCCTGTTTTATATTAGAAGAATGGAATTTTTTAAGAGACTAAACAAGCAGCTACATTTAATATCCCAGAGCGATTGCGCTTCCCATGTCAGCTCATGTGAGCATGGGCTAGTTTTCTATATCTATTGTTCAAGTCTTTAAGCCCCAGAAACATGGGTATACAGGAACTGCAGTTCCCCTAGGGAAGCTTGAGCTGATGCAGAGCTGCTGTTGAGTTCTTGCTCTCAATTGGTCTCCTCTGTGGCTAAGGGGTGTTTGTGGTCATTGGGGCCCATCTCCTTGCTCACCTGAATGATCTCATGTCTACCTGCTCCATGTGCAAATCCAAGTTGTTGTTCAAGAGTTTCATAAATCAAACCATGAGCCTGCTGATGTCCATGGCCATGGTAAAAGAGATGGGGTGGTGGTGGTTGAGCACTGAAACGAAACTGGAGGGTTTGCTTCAGTTTGCTGTCTTCAAAACTGTGTGTTAGGCAATGAGTGAGTTGATCCAAATCCCATGGAGGGTTTCAAAAGAAGAGCTGTGGTGATCTGTAGCAGAATGGATCAGGTTAAAATTCCCCTCAGTAAACACCCAGCTCTTGAGAAGCCTGGGGCACTACTTCAGACATTGAGCAGAGCAACACAAATGTGTAGGCCATTTAAAGAAGTGGAAGAGAAAAGCACTTTGTGTTGAGAAATATGGACAACAGTGTCATCTATTTCACCTCTAAAGAATATCCTTTTGTCCATCTTATTACTGGGTTTGATCCAGAGGAAGGCAGGAAAACTGCCTGTTCATATCAAGGGTCACACTCAGACTGTTCAACTCTGTCAGATTTCCCAAAAAGTTTTTATTTCTCAGGAACTGTGGAAAAAAAAAAAAAAATCTCTATCATTTTTTCCAGATAGAGTGAGTTTGAGGGAGAAGGAAGTGTTTGTCTATCTGGGATAGGTGCAGTGTGTCCTTCAGGGTGTCTACAAGTGAATTTGGATGTGTCTAAGAGTAGTGTTATTGTGAAGGTAATAGAAGAACATGGGCCTCATCCCACAAAGTTGTAACCTGGAGCACTTGCCAGCTGAGACCATTTACATATGGGGTTAATGGGCATAATCTCTACATGTTTGCTTCCAACTGCTTTAAAGATTAAAACCCCAAACCTGTGGGTCCTTGCAAGCTCTTGAGGATAGCACATTCTCATTTTGAAAGTCCTCTTGAATGTACTGAGTGAGGGAAGCAAAGGCAGGAAAACAAGCCTTTGGAAGCAAGGTAGAAAGTCACAGTGTTTGTTTCCTGGTACATCTGGGATCTCGCCACCTTGAGAAGCAGACCTTTGAAGCAAAAATAGCAGGGCAACAAAACAATAATAGTAAAAGGCATTGGCGAGGCACTTGAAAAACCTACATTTTACAGGAGTGTAATCATGATTTAAAAATACAAAAACACTGTGACTCAAGAGGGAGAGTGTGGGTGTTTGCTGGGGATGAGTCAAAAGAGAAGAAATCACAACTCCAGAAAGAGAATGGGAAAGCTGAAGCTCTGTGAGCAGAGCCTGCAAAAAGGCAGACCAAATTTATGCGTTTGTTCCGCATCCAGAGTTCTCCTCCATGCGATGCAGAAGTCATTGATTAACTGACATTAGATTGAAATGGGGCAATTAGACAGAGGGAAATGTCTATAGCATAAATTATACAGGAAAAGTGTCTGAGGAGAGCCTCCCCTTTGTCTTTAAGACTTGCCAGCTGTTCCTTTCCTGCCTTGTGATTTTTACCTTCTTAGATAAGCACATTCCTGTTCCCTAAATCAATGTGACGGAGCAGAGTTAGCTGTACATCCCAGGGTACAGCTGTATGTCCAGATATGTTTGTAATAGGTCAGCCAGTGCAGTGGTAAAATAGCAGTGAATCATATTAGCAGATGAGGAGGCTGGAGGGTAAATGATGCTGTGGAAGCACCTGCAGAAGGCATTGCTGCACGCTTCCTTGGCTCGGATTTCTTGGACCACTTTGTCATGTGCTTAATCTGAAGCATGTCCCTTGGTCCCCTTTGTAGTGGGTACTCAGCATTATACAGTGTTGAAAGGTAATCACAAGAGTCAGAAATCCTGCTGGTTTCCACTGTAAATATAAGTAAATCACTGATCCCTTGCAAAAAGCAAGTCTGGGCAGTTCTGTGTCTATGCTGGCTCACTGATCTGGGCTTGAGACAGTGCAAGGCTTGATGTTGTGGGGTTTGGGCTTTTTTCTATGACACTAACAATGAAAACTGAGGGTTTTCTTAAGAAATAAATTACTTTAAGACTCCTCTTGTGGCTGTGGCAAGCATAGTGTGATCTGAAAACACCTTAGTAGTGAATTTAGCTTATTTCTAAACCAAACCAACTCTTTGCCATGGTTTTAGGGCATGGCATGAGCTTCCATTGCCTCTCATCACACTCCCTCATCAGCAGGTATTCATGGGCCCCCCTTCAGCTGAGCGCTTCCACAGAAGCACAGAGTTGTTGGAGATGCACAAAATGTGCCATTTCCAGCTGCAGCTTTTACAGCCTGTGCCCACTGACCAATTTTAGACCTGACTGAATAGGGATGGTCATGGCTATGGCAGCATGAAAAGACTCTAGGTTGTACCTTGCTCCCTGTGAGGCTTCTCTGAGCTCCTCAGCACTGGGGAAGAGAGCCTGCCCTGATACATAGGGTCTCAGAGATGGGCATCCTTAGCAGTGCAGTGTGCACAGGGAGCATCTGGTGACCTACAGCTGGTCATTTTGTCCAGAATAAGGAAAGAAAAATCCACCTGTCTTAACAACAGGAGAAGATGCAGTGGCTGTGCTGTACAGTGATGTGTGCTGGGCTGTTGGAAGTAAGCTGGGCATTAGGCACTTTCTGATTTTCCTTTTACTCGTGTTAGCAAGATTGATGCATGAGCTCTTCCACCATAGAATAATCCACAGTTTATAGTGTGGCCAAGTGAGAGGAACTGATCTTGTGCAAAGATGTCACTGTTTACAAAGCAGAGTATTTAGAATAGCTCTTGGCCAATGCAGACTGCAAGCATTCAGTCTTCTCTCCCTGTTGATGACAAAATCTGCCAGTGAACTTCACCTGGTGGTAGCTGCTGGATGACTTCTTCAAGTTTGTGTGTAATATTCCATATGTTGTCCATGGAATTCCAGTGGTGGTTTCATCCATTCTTTTCCAGTATTTTATCTAAAAAACCAGTGTGTTTTTATTTCTCTGTAGTCCCAGCATGGCACTAGCTCAGAGCCACCCACATTTGATGGCATCTCCCCTCTCACCTGGAGCAGCCACTTCTTGACCCCAGCTCCATTGGTAGGACCCCCTCAAGCATGGGCTTGCGCAGGGAGCAGGGGTTTATCATATTCAAGTTTAATGTGCAACACTGCTAAGCCCAACCAAGCGAAAGGGAACCAGGTGAACAATTACTGAGTGGTGTTTATATGGTTTTATGTTGGGCTTTATCTGACTTGTCAGACACCCACTTTGTACTTTACAGACACGTTTCCCAGCCTTCAAAAATGCAGATTTATGAGTCTGAAAATATTTTACCAAAGCTGAGAGCATTTAACATTCCATAATTGGGTTGGAAGGTTGTGCATATCTCACCCAGCCCAATCTGAAGGGAAAGGGAAATGCTTCCATTTTTCATCTATAGACCATGAAAATGTGAAGGCTGACTTTAACAATAATACATAAACCACAAGAGAAATGTAAACCAATCCAGCCTCATAATATATGTGCTTGTTTTGTAATTTCCTGGTGGTAAGGGGTGTTTATACAGTGCTGAAGTTAAAATATCTGAATATCACCCAGACAGCATGATGGTTTTGTACAATGAACTCCTTTATAAGTCATTTGAAATGAACCTGTCAGTCATCATTAATGGTCTGTGAAACCCTACCCCAAGCTGGTGCCAAGTCTCCCTCAGCACAGTTACATCATGATAAGCTCTGCTGTGTTCACAGTAAATCAGGGAGTTTCACAATGAAGTTACACGATAAGCTTTACCATATTGAACAGTAAATCACTGTGTTGAACAATTACACAATTAAGCCTCCTTAGTTTTTTCTTTATGGGAGCATCTCTCAGTAATGTATAAAAGTCAATATGAGTCTTTTTCTCCCCCTTCTACCACCTTCCTCAAATACAATTTATGGGTGCTTCTTAAGGTTAGTGATAAGACCATGGTGTTAGGCTTATATGCCTGCACGTGTGATATGATGGAGTTAATAAAGCACTGGGGAGCAGTGCACAAGAAGCCTAGAGAAATCTGAAGCTGCATCTGAGCCTGGGTCAGTGATGGGAAGGGTATCCTTGGCTTTCAGTGGAGCTGTGCCAGTTTACATGAGCCAAGTCTTTGGTCTACAAGAAGACACATACTAGAACTTCCTATTTATGCAGTGATTTGTGTTTGCTTTGCTCCATCTTGGTTTTCATTGTCCCATTCAATTTTTATTAGTCAACACTGCTATAAGAAGCATCTTCTCTTTTAAACTCCATTTTATCGATTCTTGTGGTTTACAGGACCATTTCTCTCGCTACCCCAGCTCCTCTTGTGTGATTTAACCTGCTGCTCCTATTTGACAACTCCTAACTCAATTTATTCTTTATCCCAAATCTTAGCTGTCTCCCAGACATCTCCACACTGATGTCCCCTTGTCCTCTAATGCCACAGACTGGGACTCGAGCTTGCCTTTGCTTGAGGGCTAACGCCCTGTGCCTCTCCCTGCCTGTCTGCAAGGCTCAGGCTTGTTTTGTGATGCCTTGGTTTTATCTCCTCCTCGCTCCCTATGTCTCACCGCTTCCTAGAGACTTGCATAGCCTACTGCCAAGTGCTTCAAACATGCAGTTTGCATTCTCCTTGCTTGGCAGAGCCTCCTAAACTCCCACTACTACAGCCTTTGTGTGCCACTTCAGAACTGCACACCTTCTCATCTGA